CTTGGGTGTGCGGGTGGTGTAATCAATAATGACTCGGAATTTTTAATCAGAGAGGCGAGTTCCAATTCCAGTTCGATTCGTTATATTCATTTACGCGCAAATATCCCTGGGAAAGTTATAAATCCGCCTGTTTTTCCCCATCTATGGATTAATTAGTATGACTTGTAACATTAAATCATTATTATCTAGAAAAGAATTCTTACAATCTAAAAATATCTCCTGGCTTTAAATAACCTGCAAAGGGCTGATAAAAGCTGTAAAAATAATCAATCTTGTGGCTGTAAGACGCAACTGAGTGAGACTATGTACAATCAAATGAATAGATTTTTCCCATCTTATGCGTATTTTTTGACCCCAAATCCTTGTTGGGACTTGGCAGAATCGGGCCATGATAACCGGTTACAATTACTAACAAAGTCTTTCTAATTTATTATCCACTAGCCAAATTACCCGCACCACGCTGCGTGTCAAAGATTTTTTTTTGTAAAAAAAATGATGATTGTTTTTAAATCATAGTTATAATTTGTGGAGAAAAATGATGCATTTCAATATTACTCAAGAATCTTGTGACTATAAGACGCAACTGAGTGAACCTGTTTATTTTTTGGCGAAAGATCGCATAACCGCACGTCTAATTAACCCCCCCCACCCTTTTGACTTTTCCTAAATTTCAACTTATCTTTTGACTTTTCCTTTTTCAGCTTACCTTTTGACTATTCCTAAATTACAACTTATTTTTGAAGGGTAAAGATGTTTCAGAACGTGGTCGGGATTAAGGAGAACACGACTAGGTAACTGGTGGATATCCCAAACGAGGATTTGAAGATTGCTTTAAAAAAGAAAAATACCAGGATAGATCTGTGAAGCGTCCAAGGGAGTAATTTGAATGGACTAAAAGAAGACGTTGCCCCAGGTAGGTAGTTTCTCATTAAAGGTGCCGTTGCCGCAGGTAGGCAGTTTCTCATTAAAGGTGCCGTTGCCCCAGGTAGGCAGTTTCTCATTAAAGGTGTCGTTGCCCTAGGTAGGTAGTTTCTCATTAAAGGTGCCGTTGCCTTAGGTAGGCAGTTTCTCATTAAAGGTGCCGTTGCCATAGGTAGGCAGTTACTTATTAATCTTAAATTACTAAATAATTTCCAGACAGATCACGTGCATGTCATTCTAAATTAAGGATGGTCACATTGCGATAACCATTGGCAAGGAGAATATTCCCCAGGCGATCTGTCTTTAGTCCCATAATATCTACTTTGGACGGAGATCTTGTTCGGTTGGCAATGGAATGCGTGATATCATGCCATTGGAGGTTTCAGGTCATAATCCTTCGTGACTGCACTCATCCAATTCTGCCCTTAAAAAAGCCAATTTTCTCCTGGAAACTTATATTTACTGTTACAGTAGCTGCATGGAAAAAGGTTTTATATTCAGAAATAATGTGAAAGGAAAAAATAAGAATGTGATTCTTTTGGGCAGGGAAAACTAGGAAAATTGATGCGATGAAAATCAACTTTTGAAAGAGTAAAAATAAACCGAAAGAATAAAGCTAAAACGATCGTAGCGAGTGATTTCATGAAAACCATCATTATCTGAAGAAAAAACAAAAAGTAAGATTTTCTTTGTGATAAAGATGATGGCGAGCTGATATGAAAATGAGGTTGGTTGATTATAGCTCAACTGATGAATGAATGAAAACATTTGCTAACGGGATAATATCACAGAAAGAATGGCTGTAACCCTTTACGTTTTATCAATAAACTTTTGCAAAAGAGTTGGACAGGAATAATAAAAAAAAAAACCGACAAGAATCCAATCCAACTGGAATCGCAATGTCCCAAGTGAACTGAGCTGACAAAAGAAATTGGTTTACGATTTGGCTAATAATATTTTTAATGCAAACAAATTTTAAGTCACAAGGTTTTCTTGGAAATGCATGAACCTAAAATGGATTCGAATTGCTTATCATGAAGTATGTCGAAGTCTGAAGTTTTATGATTGTTATGTTCCAACAATCCTCGTCGGAATTGTTATATTCCGTGCCAAGGGAATAAATAAGTAACACCAGGTGAATAATAGAAGAAAGGTTTATTGTATACAACAAGTACAATATGAAATACGGTACAGTTATACACACAGGTCAATCTAGTAGTGAGTGTCACTAATTGAAAGGTCGGAAGTGATTGCGTCTTCTCTCTCACCCTCTACCTCATCTCTCGTAGACAAGTTGACTTTATAAGTACTTACTACCTATAGTGTAATCATTCATGGGGGTGACTGGTTATTCCCTTACATCAATGATAAAAACATATTTGTGTTTGTTCGTGATTTTTAGTTATTTATTTTAATATATATTTATTTTAATATATATAATAGTTATTTATTTTAATATATATTTATTTTAATATATGTTTTTTTTATTTTAATATATATTTATATATTTTAATTTTAAAAAAATGACGAAGTTATAGACAATGTTAATTCTGTGTCGAAAACTTGATAAAGCACCTTAAATCTCGTCTAAGCAATATTTCTCTTTAAGGCCATCCATAGAAATATTTAATAGCTTCTTTCCAGACTACTAAGGGGGATTGGAACGAATCCGACGATTCCAAACCCTGAAATTCAAGTAGCAAAGAATGCAATCGAAACATGAGAAATCCCATTCAAAATACCAGTTTAGAGATCGTTTACCACGAAGGAAAATGCTATAAAGTTTTTATAGGTAAAAAAAGACAAAAAAAGACTGTACTCAAAACTGTCAGTAATAAAATATTTGTGAGGCTGAAACGAAAATCATGAGTTTTGTGTCGAAATGTTATCAAATGATACAGCATGGAGAAGCCGCTCTTCAAAAAGAAAAAAAAAACATCCTGTAAGAAAAGATAACGCGAAGGCCCTAATAAAATGTTAATCTGACGTGTCTGCAGGAAGAAAAATAACCTTTTCTTCCGGTATAATTTCGATTAATAAAAAAAAAAAAAAGTAAGAAAGTTACCTGGGCAGGTGAAAGGTGAGTCTTAGTACAAATCCCATTTGGGATACGTCAGGGATTTCTTATCAGTTCTTGAAAACATTGGATCAGAAATGAAGAACATGGATGAAAACAGAAAGATACGGCAAACGATACGAAATTTGAATAAAGTAGTCGATTCGTTCGAAGAAATAGAGAGAAAGAGAAGAAAGAGAGAGAAGTGAGGCACGAGAAGAGAGAAGACAGGAGGAGAGTGGAAGAAAAAAGAGTGAGAAGAGAAAATAGAGAAGATAGAATTAGGGGAGAAGTAAGAGAGGAGAGAGAAGAGAAACGAGAAAAAGAGAAGATAAAAAAGAAAAGAAAGAGAAACACGAGAAGAATGAGAGATAGAGAGGAGAAAGAGTAAAGAGAGAGAATAAAAAGAAGAGAGATGGGAGAGTAGACAGAGTAGAGAACGTAAAAAGAGGTAGAAAGGAAAGAGAAAAGACAGAGAAGACATAGAAGTTAGAAATTTGCAAACTATCAAAAATGAGAAAGAAAAATGGAGAGGAGCGAGACTAGAGATGAGGAAGAAGTGGGGGAGGAGGAAAAAGAATAGAGAGGATAAAGAGAACAGATAGAGAAGTCGGGGGAAAAGAAAGAGTCACGAGAGAAGAGAGAAAGAAGACGATAAAGAGAAGGTAGAGAAGAGAGAAAAAAAAGAATGGAAAAAGAAGAGAGAGGGAATGGAAAAGAGAGGGGGACGATAAACGAGTGCGAGGAGAAGGAAGAGAAGGAGAAACAGATAATTTAATGGTTTCGGTTGGCTAACAATATGGCGTCAATAGAACTGGAACGAACACTTAGATTCATAAGAGCAGGATAAAAGTGAAATGATTCATGAAGAATACTCACTGTACTTCGTAATTGAGGCGACAGCATAACTAGACTCTTTTAAAGACTATGATGAGTCTAATAATAATAATGATAGCAAAAAATGTTTACAGTTTGAAACGATAACCCTCTGTACCTGCATTTTTACGAGGGCTTTTTTTAAATAAACGCTATGTTTCATTTTCCATTTGAGAGTTACCTTGACGAAAAGCAGCCCAAATTTATACAGCTTACCAAGGAGTCAGGATTATGCAAAAGAAGTCTTGAACTCTACAAGAAATATATAATGTAATGTACAAAAACATCTTATTTCCGACACAAAACTTTGCAAAATATTGCATGCGTCTTAAAATCTGGTAAATCCAAGAACAATTCTTCTTCTCAGATATACCGACGCCAACGTGACAGTGGTCATGGGGGGGGGGGGGGCTGGGGAATGTTTGTTTTTGGCCTGTATGAGCACACCTCTTTAAACTAACCTTGTTTCACACCCCTCATGTGAGTAAATACCTGGTCAGGCCGCCTATATGGCAAAAATAATTCATTACTCAATATTACTCAATGATCTTGTGCCAATAAGACGCAACTGGATGAACCTGTGTATAGCGCGACAGTTACAACCAAATGAATAGATTTTTCCTATCTTCTGCATATTTTTTGGCGAAACATCGCATTACCCACCTCTAATTTTACCCACCCCTGTGTCTTTTGAATTTTCCTAAATTTCAACTTATTTTTGAAAGGTGAAGATATTTCAGAACGTGGTCGGGATTAAGGAGAACACGACGAAGTAACTGGTGGATATTCCAAACGCGGATTTGAAGATTGTTTTAAAAACGAAAAATACCGGGATAGATCTGTGAAGCGTCCAAGTGAGTAATTTGAATGGACTAAAAGAAGCCGTTGCCCCAGGTAGGCAGTTTCTCATTAAAGGTGCCGTTGCCCTACATAGGCAGTTTCTCATTAAAGGTACCGTTACCCTTGGTAGGCAGTTTCTCGTTAAAGGTGCCGTTGCCATAGGTAGGCAGTTTCTTATTAATCTTAAATTACTAAATAATTTCCAGACAGATCACGTGCATGTCATTCTAAATTAAGGATGGTAACATTGCTATAACCAATGGCAAGGAGTGTATTTCCCTGATGATCTTTTTTTAGTCCCATAATA